TTTCTTTCTATGCACACTCCTCCCCTGCCTCCCTAAGCATGAAAGGGAGACAGCAGGGCCTGTGCAGAGACAAACAGCAATGAAGGTAGCCAGGAGGAAGCACAATTTGCCTGCAGAAGCACATATTTTGCATAGTCTGTAGCCCGGCGTTCTGCTTCAGCTTTGCAGAGAACTGCAAAAACAATATTGACTTATTTAAACAGCGACAAATTCCTTCTGGATTCTGTACTCTTCAGCAGAGACAACAGCACACACAGCAAAGCATGCCTCCTGTTCAGCTGAGCAATGAATATTTGACCTGAGCGCGTCAAATGTTTGCTTAACAAAATATTCCGGAGAATGCTTTGTAGAAGCATGCAAATAACACCATAGGACATAAAGGAGAAGTGTGCTTACAATGGGCAAAGGTTAAGTAGTTATAGAGAATTTCCAGGGGAAAAAAGACCTTGCTCGTCATCTCTCCATGTAATACAGAGGGGACCCCAGAAACTGCAGTCACATTGTAAACCATGTGAGCATTGTACTTATATCAATGGCTAGCTTCAGTCACATGTTTCACCTGCTGGGGGAGCAGAAGCGTGAATAATGGGAGAATTTCCTTTTTTTCTGGAAAGTCTAATTAAACTTATCTAGTATGAACTTTATACCAAATACTTATCCTAACTGTAGGTGGAGTTTATCTTCAAGTTCATGTATAGAGAGAGCTTGCTGATGATCACACTTACTATAAATCAGCTTAATGGCTCTTCCTGTATATAATGCCCACATATACATTCTGTGTTATATACTTCTCTCTTGTTCTTAAGAGGTGGATAAGTATGATATATTATCAGTATAATGATTCCATCCACACGCTGCTGAAGCTGGCATACACCAGTAGAATTTATTCGATTTTCTATGTTAATGGGGTCAAATCGACAATCGTTTCCGATCGCATTGATGGAAAAAAATCAAAGGAACAGGATGGTTAAGAAAGTTTTTTAATTAGTTACATTTTAACAGTGAATGTGGATTTCATTCAGGAAACTCCATTCAGTTCAAAATCAAGTCTTAAAACCAACAAAAAATCAAACTACATTTGTCAGGTCTCTGATTATCTAATGTTCTGATGAGAGATTTTCATACAAACGTTGATATTAAATATATCAGTGTATGGCCAGCTTAAAGTGACACTAAACTCCAGAGTTAAATCTTAAAAATACATTCAAGTAGCTTAATTATTACCACAAATGCACCATATTTGTGTATCACTTGGCTGAAGATCCTCAAATCATCTCTGAGTTGGTGCTGACACTGTCCTTCCTTCTGGGGGGTGGCTACTTTTCTTCCACCTTGGTCCCTGAGTGTGTTGTAAAGTAGCCACCGCTCCAAGCTCGCTCCTGTGATGGACTACAAGCTCAATACAAATAAGCAAACTAAACAGAACATTGTAGTCCATCACAGGAGCGAGTTTGGAGCAGTGACTACTTTACAGCACACACAGGGACCATGGGGAACAAAGGTAGCCCCCCTCCAGAAGGAAGGACAGTGTCAGCACCAATTCAGAGATGATTTGACGATCTACAGCCGAGTGATACACAAATAACATACATTTTTGTTAAAAGTTAGGGTACTTGAATGTATTTTTAAGATTTATCTCCTGCGTTTTGTGTCCTTGACATGAGTAAGATTTATTCAACATATGTTGGCAGTATGTTAGCCAGCATACTACTACGTCACAACAGGTTACATTCATTTTTAAGCAAAAGCACGTTAGCATAATTAATGAGACACATCCCAGTGACATCCCACACTGGGCAGGCATGGAAATACAAATCATCCAATATTTGATTATTTATCACAACACTGAAACAGTTAATTCTCTGTAACCAGAAAGCCACTCCCAAATGTATCTTTTTTTTTTTAAACTTTCATCAAATCGAAACCTTCATTTCAGGCAAATAACCCTATTCTAGTGGTTCTATCTATTCTATGTGGTGAGCTGACCTTAGTCTGGTGTCTGACACTATACCATATTTGGGAGTATTTATCGCCTTATCAGCTACCCACACTCCAAGATGCCGCCAATAACAGGAAATTCTGCAAACCTGTGAACCGCAGAAAGAGGTTGATAATATTTGCAGAGTCTGTAAAATATATTCTGCAAAACTTGCAAAAATTAAAATGTTAACCACTTCAAGACCAAGTGTTTAGACCCCCTTCCTGGCCAGGCTATTTTTCAGTATTCAGCGCTGCGGTACTTTGATTGACATTTATTCCGTCCTGCAACGCTGTACTGAAATGAATTTTATACCATTTTTTGGGGACAGATAGAGCTTTCTTTATGGAGACATCAGGGGTCTCCAAGACCTCTAATGTCACCGAGGACCAACCTGAAGAAGCTGATGAAACAGAAATCTGCTTCATCAGCTTCTCTCCAGCATCTGAAGCTGAAGAGTGACACAAGAATACGAAAGTGATGTAATATACATCTGTTCTGCATTCTGACAGCGGAGAGGGGCCCCGAGGGAGGTCGTGTACCGACCTCCCTCTGATCCCGTGACAGAAGCAGCATGCTGGTCCTGGGCTCGCAACGGGCACAGCAGAGCCAGGGACCAGCGTGACAGTGGGAGGGGGGGAGCGCACATGCCGTGACCTCATACAAGCGATCCGCTGGGTCTATAGCCGGCGGATCGCTTGTATATTAACGGACATCGCTGCCTGTTTTCAAATGTCGCCATTTCCCGCTCACGCGCGCCCAGCGGCGCGGCTGAGTGGACGTCTAAAGATGCCCGCTCAGATCTAGAGAGCTCCTGGCCGGCCGTTTTTTTACAACGGCCGGCCGTGAAGTGGTTAATGTCTACAAAATCTGAAACTTTTGTATAACAAAATGGAGTCTTGAACCTGAATACAAAATTGATTCTTTAGCTTAACCAACTTTTCCACCTCAGTTTAGTGTCACTTTAGCGGAAGTAAGGCTAAGGGAAAAAAAACAAAACAGGCCCTCAAGAGCTTTTAACCATTATGTGGTAGTATGCACTGCATATTAGCACATTATAGTAGACTTACCTGCCAAACTGATCCCCTCCCTTCCCTTTCATCTTCAGTCGGTCCTCTCTTGAGTTTTGAGTCCTTGGCTGCTTGATTAGCCAGGCCTCGATGATATAACTCTGATGCATGCACACGGGAGTTCATCTCGGCATCCGGATCTGTGTGTTGAGCTGCTCGGCATACAAAAAATAAAATTGCCGAATGGTAAATAAAAAGAAGCTTTTATGGTAAAAGAGAGGTACACGGTCTCTTCTGCCATTGAAAGCCAGCCAGTCAGCATTTTTTAGGAAGTCATCAAAACAATTGCATTTTTCTGCATACTTTTCCATAGTTTTGACTAGGCATGCACCAATACCAAGTACAGTACTCGGTACAAGTACAATTACAGATACTTTTCGAGCTCCAAGACTAGACTAGAGAAAAATTAAAAAGTTACGAGGCAGTTGTCATTTCTAAGGAGCACACAGAGCTCCTGGGACTTGTACATCTGTTTTAATGTATGATTTTGTTTTTATAAATATAAATAAAGGGATGCATAGATACCAGTTTTGCGAGTACGAGTACTGATACTTGTCCAAGTCCTTACAAGTACGAATACTGATACATTTTTGTTTATTGTCATGTGACAGTTTTTCTAAAACAATACAGACTAATGATATCAGTACAGTGGTGGAGCGCCAGAGCCAGGTCCCAGCTGCAACTTCTGCAACCCTGGTAGTTCTCATGAAAATGCCAATTATCGGCATTGGTACTCGAAACGTATCGGTGCATTCCCTAGTTTTGACTTGTAATACATGCACAAGTGTACACTCGATAGAAAACAAAATATTCCCTGTTGGCCTATACACAGGGCAATGGGGTGGAGGGGTAAAAATTTAACTAGATGAACTTGTCTGTATTGCCTATAGCAAGTGATCAGATGGACATAGTTATGCTTGTATGCATTTCAGTAACCAGTGAAGCACTTTTGCTGTCAATCAAATCTCTATAACTAAGCCCATTATTGGGTAAAACATGTCAGTGTGAAGAGAATACATGGCGGGACAATGTATACAGGTGTGCTATAATAAATTTTTCAGCAAAGCTTGCATTGTGCGAGCAGACTTTTTTTCTGTGAGTAACTGCTGTTACTGGAGCAAGACGGGCTTAGCCAGTGTGCATTCGCTGTTCTCTCAGGCGCAGCTATAAAGGAGCAGTGATAATGGGCTATGGAAGGTAATTAAAGGAAATCTGTCGTGAGAGAAATACTGCGACCGTTATTGACTTTTCTTTCAGGCTGTCTCAATACTTTTATTTCAACACTTTCCTAGCCACTGAACCAAAACATGCCTAGAGATAAGTACAATGGGGCAATTCAATATAGACTTCGCAACAATGTTTTGGTGCTATGCGCCACTTCTACAATATGTCACTGTGGCTACAACAACAGACAAGGAGACTGGAGGTTTGTTATCTATTTACTTGATGTAACCTAATCTTTCATATATTACCTAAAAATTGGTATTGCATTGCGTTTGTGTGCACTAAAATTTATTAAAAAAATGTTTTACTAAAAATAATCATTTGATAAACATTTGCGCAAAAATTGTGCGACATAAAAAATGCTTTCAGAATATATTTAATTGTTAGTGGTTTTAAAGTAATTTTTTATTAAAAAATCCAGATTGTAGTAGGTGTGTGCAAAAATTACAAAATTGCTCCGGTACTGAGGTGGTTAAAAGTGTAATAAACCACAACTAATCAGAAATCAGCCATCACTCTTCTACTCTCAGTCAATTTGAAAACAATTGCCTGTTTGGATTTCTGCACCACATCCTTCAGTGCGACTTTATTAAATAAGCCTGCTGTTGTTCATTGAAGTGATGCTCGTTTTGGCAGCGCTTTCACTTTGAAGACAGACTGTTTCTGCAGAAGTGTGCGTGACGCATGTGCTGCACATTTCTCTCACAGGAAATGAGTGAGAGAGGGCGTCAAAGCAGCCCAGAGAGCATCAGGCACCTGTGTGTCTGTCTCTAATCTCATCCCTGCGTATCAGTGTACCAGCCAACCTCCATTCTTGTAAACAGTCGACAGGGAGTGGCCAAGACGGCCTGCCAAGAGGAGCTGAAACTTTGAGAGCGGAATACAAGCTGGAAAACAAGTGCAACTCGTGTGTGTACATTTTTTTCTTCTCGAGATCATGAAGCAGCAAAGTCAGTCCAGCTCCATGGAGAAACAATGCTCAGGAAACGTATCCGCTTCCTTCCTCTCTAAAACCTAACAGGCTTATGGCAGATCCTTACTAGAGCGAGGAATGTTCAGCAAAAGGTAGGAGCTTTTTAATAACGAACATTCGCAGTAAATCATTCACTGGTGAAGGAATGTGTTGCATACCAAGAAGTTCCAGAGTGTCGTCACAGTCCCCTCTGGCAGTACATCAGTTAATCAGTGTTACAGAGAAGAACACAGAGGTTTTATTTGTTGGATGGAAAGATCTTCTTCTGATCTTGATACTATTTTATTTGAGAACTTTGCCAGGCTTCCTGTAAAGTATCATGATGGATGATCATGTCCTAGGGATTTTGAAGATTTCCAATTCTGAGCTCGGGTTAATTTTCATCCTTAGATGGGATTAGTTGACAATAACCATAGTGATCAATCAGAAATAATTTTTACTGTAGCAACAGTGACTTCTGGCACTCTCTTTATAGACGACCTGTGGATAGTTGGGGTGATGGGCTGTTCTCTGTAAGGCGGTGAAGGTGCTTATTCCCCCTGTCCGGACTGTACACAAAGCTCAATATTAATGGCGCTTTCTCTAAAGATGACCCATGGATAATTGGGGTGGTAGTCAGTCCGCTGTAGGGTGGTGAAGGTGTTTATTCTCCCTGCCTGGACTGTACGCAGAGCTCAATATTAATGACGATCTTTCTATAAATGACTCGTAGATGCTTGGAGTGGTGGTCAGTTCTGTGTAGGGTGGTGAAGGCGTTTACTATGCCTGTGTGGACTGTACGCAGAGCTCAATATTAATGCCAATCTTTCTATAAATGACTGGTAGATGCTTGGAGTGGTGGTCAGTTCTTTGTAGGGTGGTGAAGGTGTTTATTATCCCTGTCTGGAGTGTACAGGGAGCTCAATATTAATGGCTTTCTCTCTATAGATGACATGTCGATGTTTGGGGTGGTAGGCAGTTTTCTGTAAGATGGTGAAAGAGTTAATTCTCCCTGTATAGACTGTACACGGCATCTTCATTGGTTTTTGCACTGCATTAATGAATAAGTCTCCATTTACACTCTTTCATGCATTTTAAAGTGTTTTTGTTGTACTTTTTGCATTTTTGTTTTGGGCAATGAAGAATAAATAAAGTAGAGGTTGCTATGGGCTGGGGGCTTGTCACCATGCTTTAAAATGTTTGCAAAAATACATGTCACATGTATTTTTAATTAATTCCCATTGAAGTCTACGGAGCTAACAATGCACTATATCGCACCATAAGAAGCACCTGCACCTTTTGCATAATTACATTTTTTTTGTTGTGGACTGTCGCACGACAGCCGAAGGGCTTCAATCCGCACAGGTCTGAACAAAGACTAAGTGAAAGTTGAAATCGGTAAATCCATAAGCATTTTATTTATTATTACAGATATTTATATAGCGCTGACTATTTACACATCACTTTACATGCTGCACATTCACATCAGTCCCTACCCTTGAGGAACTTACAATCTAAACTCTCTATCTAATATGCATTCAAACACACATTTTACAGCCCTACATTAGTAAACCTACTATGCAGGATATTGGTACCGGACTCCCACAGGCAACTTATAAGCTATAAGTTTTGTTTTCTATTGTAAGATGGAGGAACAAACTGAACGGACACAAATGTCACAAGAGTGACATATGTTCTGTACTGGTCCGATCAGCAGGGAATCAGTGCACGGATCCTCTGCTGATTGGAACGGACGGTACCCGTGTGAAAGGGCTCTAATGCAGTGGAGGAAGATGGGACAGTATATGGGTCACTTATAATGTTACAAGCAGTAGAGACCTCATTGTTCACGCAGATCATATGGCAAGGCTTTCCATGCACTCATCAATTATTTAACTTTGTTGTTGCATAATTTAATCTTCCACAATTGTAACTTTGATGTATTTTACTGATAAACTGCCGTACAAGCTAGAAGCACAAATAATGCAACAAAATGGATTTTCTGTTTTTACAGCATGAACATAAATGTAATGAGCAGTCTTTAATCTCTTAGGTTTTAAGTAACACAGTCAGATAATTTGTTATAAGATGTAATGCTACCTGTACTTTGTAACTGTAATGACAACTGGCAGTTCTCATGCTTCTGCTGGATATAATGAAATATATTCATATGTAACAAACCTTACCCTTCACCATGTATCAGAGGTGAAACCCTTGATGATGCACTGAATGGCGTGAGCTATTTTTTACACCACTAGATCCAATTTACCACCAATTTCCCCTAACATGAATAAGCATTTATCCGGAAAATATTACGCATCTGTCAAGCTATTTTCCTGTGTAATTATCATTAATGGCCACTAACTATGAATCATCTTTGCTAGCAGACAAATGTGCAGAATTAAAAATGCCATCTTTACATGAACAACAGGAAGAGACTGTAGTAGGGGTCAGATTGGTTCATTGCCGACTAGAAGCCTACTTGCATATTACACAGGATGAGTTTCATGACTGCTCAGAATAAGAAACATGTTACTTGTGAATATTTCAATTTCCACCTATATTTCAAGGATGAACTCCAGGCAAATGACTAAATACACAGTTGAAATACACGTGGGGGTGTTGTTTTTCCTGCCAAAGAATTTGTAATTCGATCCACCCAGTACTGAAATTTAAACAGCTTTGCCACACAACACTGCCCTGTCTGGAGGGGCAGAAGACCTGATTTTTCACTGCTGCAGTTAGATAACACTTACAGGTCTTGTCCCTCCCCCTAGGCTGTAACATGACATTAAAAGGAGAAGCAGCAGACTGATGAGCTCATCTCTCTTCTCTTTCCCCCTATCAGACCAGTTGATTAGCTTCTTGTGCTGATTCTCCCTCCCATCTAAGATCCGTTGTACAGGAGATTGCAAGAGGCTAATACCTGTGTAAATCCAGGCACTTAAATTGTGTGCAAAAAAATACATGTATTAACATATTAATGAATGCATAGCTGCATTTATCGATTGTCTTTTATGTGTGCATTAATTCCCTTTAGAAATCGGGTTTTGTTGTGATGTAAGAGGAAGCCACAAGGAACAAGATTCACCAGACCTAAGCAGGGTTGGCTGCAAGGCTATTACTAAATACAGGGAGGTAATGGGGTCTCTGGTTTGTAAATTACTGTACGCCTTGGTTAACAATATGGAGGTTGAGAAACTTTTACTGGTAGCAACTTGATATGTAATGCATTATTATAATTCTCCTTTAACCTGCTCTCATTATCTCTTCCACACAGCTCAGCTGGTGACCAGCTAAGACGCCGCTGACTGGTATCACTATGTGGAGTTGCGAAGATTTTAATTACACTAACAACATTCAAGACCAGCGTCTCTGCCATGATTTCCACCTTGTCCTCTTCATCTTATCCATCCTCTACCTCATCATTTGTTTCCCAACTGGTCTCTGCTACAATGTTCAGCTTGTGCTGGTTAATCTGTGCAACAAGGCAACTATGACCATGCCAGATGTGTACTTTGTAAATATGGCAATTGCAGGACTCATCATCAACGCTGTGGCCTCAGTGTACCTTCTAGGACCAGCGTATACCAAATGGTCTCTGTTCGGCAATGAGGTTTACATTACTCTACTAATTCTCTTTAATGTGTCATCTTTGGTGATCATGTATTCCACAACTTTGCTCAGTCTGGATTATTACATAGAATGTGCGCTACCAAGAACGTACATGTCGAGTGTCTATAACACAAAGCATGTCTGTGGGTTCATCTGGGGTGGAGCTGTGTTGACCAGCTTCTCTTCACTCCTGTTCTACATCTGCAACCATGTATCTTCTAAAATTATTGAGTGTTCCAAGATGCAGAATCGGGAGGCGGCTGATGCCATCATGGTCCTCATTGGATATGTGGTGCCAGTTCTTGCTGTACTGTATGCTTTGGTCCTTATTTTACAAATTCGAAAAGAGGAAACTCCCCTTGATCAGGATTCTGGAAGACTGGATCCATCTGTGCACCGGCTTTTAATCGCCACTGTTTGCACACAGTTTATTTTATGGACGCCATATTATGCTACGCTAATGGTAAACACATTTACAGACCCTAAAGTGAAGGCCACCGACCATCGTTTCATGAGGACATTTCACTTCATCGAGGGTTTGTCTAGCTTCTTGGCCTTCTCAAGCAGCTTTGTCATGCCTTTACTGCACAGACGCATTAACAAAAACTTTCACAACAAACTCCAGAGATTGCTTAAAAAATTGCACTGTGGCAATGAAGGTTGTGCCCATGAGCGCACTGTGGTTCAGCAGGTGATGACTTAATGACAGATGGTGTTACAGTAACATGGTTCTCCATCCACCTGACCTCATCCACAGTAGTGGATGAAAGGCAGCTGCTATCGTTTAAGCTCTGAGCCATAGGATGACCACACTGCAAATATCATACTGCATGTCATGTGATTAGCTATTTTTGTTTAGTCATGATGAGCTATGAAGACTAACATATGCTGACATGTTTGACATTTGCGCTGAGCCTCTTTGGTGGAAAGGTGACCAAGAAGCAGAGCTGAAGCTGAAATCTTAAATGGTGCTGATGGTGGAAACAGTGGAGTTGAAACAGTACTATGAAATAGTGCCAGCAAGGTTTTGCTTAAACCAATTAAGACTGACCTAAGCATGTATGTATGCTTTAACCACAACCCCCAAGATCTAACCACATATCTGCAAACAGGCGACATATCTTTGCATTCTGGCTTATTCACATATTCCACCGAGACATTTCATTGTGAAGTTTTATAGGCAAAGAGATGAAACCAAAATTGGGGGGTTAATATGCATGTGCACCCAAAACCAATTTCACAATTTTGGAATGGAAAGTAGTGGGTTTCTATTACCTGTTTATTCTTTACTGCTGTCAGTAACCTGTGAGTGGAGATCTCCAACAACCCTGGCAGAGCTGTGAGAAAATGAACTTGGCGGTTCAGTTAAGCGATTACTGTCACTAGCCTGAATTGTTATTCATTGCTATGGCGACTCCATCTACCATTTAGAAGATTTCCCATGGGAATATATGGAGAACTCAAAGGCTGGTAAAAATAGTAGTTTGCCCTATATTGCTACCCAAGCCATTAGTAGTGATAGACTGCCCATTATAAATACCAGAAATTGCTTTGGTGAGCTGTCACTGTAAGCATATGTAACACCCGTAAAATGTAGGAAAACTCTTTTGTTAGCCCAATCATTCCTAATAATCATGATTACTTCACAAATGTAGGTTATCTAAAATGTGTGTAAGATACTTTTTTAGTATAATGTATGTTAGATGCAGACCTCTGGTGAGTCCGAGGCCCCACATTATTAGTGGAATGTGCATTATCCAAGCCAACACTGAAATTAGGGTTGCAAAAGATCATCCTCAGTGGGCCGAGACAGCAGAAGAGACAGAAGGGGATAAACACCTGCCACTCTTCTTCCACAAGGGAGAAATATGTTTTAGGTAGAGATGCTCTTTAACTATTCCACATACGTAACTGCAAGCACTTTGATACTATAGAAAAGTATTATATTGTCAGTTTTCATGAACACAGAATGAAGTGAATTTGTCTTTTTTTTTAATGTATGTGATAAGCCTTCTTTTATCTGACTACTAAGTGAAGAAAATCGGCCAACGCCAAGTTGGTGAATGAAGTTATCTATCTAGCTGTACATGTCCTCATACTGAATCTACCTTGCCAATATTATTATTCAGCAAGGGCTCATAATAAATATTTTTGAAGAATAACAACATAATGCATGATCATTTTTAATGTTATTAAAGAACAGCTGCAGCGTGATCTAAAAAAAAGGAACTACATCAATTACCTACTTTCCTGCCAACTGGAAAGATAACCTGCACATCAACAGCTCTCCTGGAATAAACCATTTCACAGACGTGTTTTTTTTGATCATGCAGGTATAGAGCAGGAAAAGCTCCTGCTGCATCGAGTGAGCTGATCTACCTGTTATACTGGATCAGTCCTAATCAACTGAGAAGGGTTAGTCTTGCACGGGAACGAATGTATACATTATGTACATGTTTTTGGCAGTCAGAGGCACCCCCACCTCAAAGAAAAGGGTTGTTAAGTTTTATAACACTATGATGATGATTGATATTTGGCCAATTTAAAAAAATAGAATTTAATGGATTATTATAGTGCTCCTGGAATCTGAGGAAGTTTATTCCAATAACTCATCACAACCCATTATGTCTGTGTTTTACCTGTGCAAGCTGACAGACAAATAACAGTGACTTTCTGAGCCATGTTGCAGAATTTTGGGCACACAAAACCTTCCTTATCTTCAACTTGCTGCTGCCAAATAACTTTCTAATGGTCCAAACCCACATATTCGTTTTACATTCCAATCACTTTTATGTTTCCTTTATGACTACAACACATGAAAACTAGGATTCAAATAGTTTTTTATATGGGACAAAAACAGAGGAAATACATTTATAAAAATGCACAAACTCTGAAAATGTGATGAAACTTAGATCATCGGTTTCTACCTTCATATGCAAAAAAACTGATTTCAATCAGGCAAAGCACAACAAAATGAAAAGCAACATCTCGTGCACATTAGCTAAAGTAGCTATTAAGGAGTGAACTAACTCAGGTTATACAGAATACTTATAAATGTTTGTAAAATGCCATTACCTATAGATAATCCAGCAGCCAGTCAGAACTCCGCTTTCAAACAGTCAAGAAAGGGCAGACAGATGATAGCAGATTCTGATCAGCTGTACATGACAGATCTTTGAATTGTTATTAAATACATCCATCAGTATAAAAAAATGCTATGTAGTTCAAATAATCTCCCTGTTCTAAGCCCTCATTCACACGAGAAACGGCTGGCCCGTACAGATCCGTGCTGCGTGCAGAATCGTATCGGGCCGCTCACGTGAAGGACAGGTGCTGCCTGTCATTACACGCAGCAGCCTGTCTTTCTCTATGGGATATGCGGCCAAACGCCGTCCTACGCACGGGCCAGATTTTCAGGGAGTAAAGGGAGAGCTAGTAATCTGCCCTTAGTTAACATGGCCACTGTCTGAAGACTTGAAAAGAAAAATAAGGTTTGCAATTATCTAGAAGTGCCTGTCTGTAGATTGTCATTACTAAACATTTCTAAAGGTGTGTTTGTTGTTATTTTAAAGATATGAGTGAAGGTCCACTTTAAGATGCTCAAGTGTGAATGAAGCCTAAAGGTGGCCATACTTAAATAATAAAATTATAATTAAAAAACTTTATAATTAAAATTTCGGACGACCTGCCCATCATGGACAGGCAGATTGTACTTGCGATCATCGCAAGTCCTTCCCGCTGAGGGGAGGGCTGGCAGATGATTGCAATGGTGAGCGGGCAGTGTGCGCTTGCGCACCTCGGGTCATGTGGCTTTCGTCAACCCGCCGAAAATCGTCCATCTTTTGGTGGGTTTTCTAGCGTGCTCGTTATACGAAAATCGTACGACCGTACAGTGAATGCGGTCGCACGCTGCCCATCAACCTTACGATTATCGTGCGATTGCGGGATCACGATACGGTAATCGTCAGCTGTATGGGCAGCTTAAGAAAAATGAGTGAGTGATGAAAGTAGTATGTACGCAAAACTGCAGCATTTGAGAGGCCCTTTAATGGTAAATTTATAAGAGAAATATGGGTACTGCCATTGCCAATGTTCAGTGAGTCAATATTCAGAAAAATACAAGCAGCCAAGGAAGTCTTCCAACCTGCATATCTTTTCCAGGTTAGTGACTCACAAGGTACCCAGATTATCTGCCTGACAGCCGTTTCATAAAGCAGGTCAGAAATGGTAGCTTATTTTTATGATGGTATGTTCAAATACAATATCTGAATAGTAGTCATCTCTATGAAAGGTAATACATAACAGATTTCATGGTCTAATCGGAGCACTCATATTGTAGGTTACAAATTCAGCTTTGTCTCTTACATTTCAGACATCTATTCACTTATGTTCACTAGGGTTCCATTGCTTGGTATATATATGAAAGAGTTTTAATCACATATTACACCCTTTCATACAATTCAATGATGAAAAACGGAAAAATAAACAGCAACATACATATGGCTTAAGTATGTAATAACTAAAAAGTTAAAAAATCACGTCAAGGTTATTAAATGGAATATTCCAACCAGTGCTAAATTGGGGCAACTGACACTATTTAAGAAAGATTTATATTTTTGATGTACGCATTCCTTGGTGTTTACATCATCACCAAACCAAGCTTTTAATGAACATTTCAGCTGAAGGGAATTCTAGAAAGGGATACAGGAAACCTATATCCCTGTGTTAAAGAGAATCCATGTAGAAATGCTTAGGCCTTTCATTGCATCAACAGAATTAAATGTAATTTAAATGTCAGTAAATCCCACTTAACGACACATAGTTGTGACATCCTGTCTGTCAACATATATGACATTACTGTGTATGGCCTGTCAATCTGTACTACCACAAATACTTTGGAGTCATACATTGAGCAGAATAGGTATCAATCTTTATCTAAGGCTTGTCTACGCTCCATATCTATTAGGATAGACTTTTCTCTAGTAAAGTAGTAAAGCTCAGGCAGCCATTTTGTGGACTGTACCAGCTTTCCAAACAACAAAACAAAAAACGGCCTCATGTATAAAAATGTCCAAAATAAAAACCAATCAAATTCAACCTTTGAATATCAAATCATCATTTCAAAATCTTGCTGCTGTAGACCAGGGGCAGGCAAATTGAGGTGAAACTACAAATACCATCATGCATCTGCTTCTGGGCGTCATACCTGTGGCTGCCTGACTGTTGCTGTGCCTAATGGGATTTGTATTTGCACCACAGCTGGAGGGCCAGTTTGCCTACCTCTGCTGTACACCAAGCGGACTCTTTTCTTACAGTCATTTTGACACGTGAGGCCCTCACGCTATACTCAGGAGTTCAATCTTAAAAATGCATTCAAGTACCCTAACTATTAACAATACTGTACCTTATTCGTGCATTACTTGGCTGTAGTTCAAATCATGTCTGAATTAGTGCTGACACTGTCCTTCCTACTGGAGGGGGGCTACTTTTCTTCCCTTTGGTCCCTGTGTGTGTTGTAAAGCAGCCACCGCTCCAATCTCGCTCTCGTGACGACTACAATCTCAACACAAATTAGTAAAATAAACATGAGATTGTAGTCCATCACGGGAGTGAGCTTGGAGCAGTGGCTTACAATACACACAGGGACCATGGGGGACAAAAGTACCCCCCCTCCAGAAGGAAGGACAGTGTCAGCACCAATTCAGAGATGATTTGAGGAT